GGAATTTCATGTTACAACAACAAGTGGTTTTTACCTTTATTGTTGTTGACATAAAATTGTTAATGAAAAAAAAAATTAACTTTAAGCGAGCTTTAAACGTTTTCCATCATGAAAGTTAGTTAATGCTTATTGCCTTGAAAAGTGTTTATCTTCTTCTTCTTCTCCTTCTTGTTCTTCTTAAATATAAAATCCGTTATTTGCATGCTTGCGTTCTGTGATCTCCGAAACTACCCGGTGGACTATACTGTAAATTTGTCTGTTTGTTTCTGTTGTTCCTGGGAAGCCTCGAACGACCCATTTCTTTTTACGAAAGTGGACCAGGGACCGATTGCGAAAAATCGTATTTACGGTTCGATTGTCTTGAAATTCGGTTCATAAGTGGGTTTTTACTCAGTTTGACAGGAAGACTACTCTTCTCTTTGGGAAGTGGACAAGGGACCGATCGGAGAATTCATATTTACGGTTCGATTGTCTTGAAACTCGGTACAGAGGTAACTCTTTGTTCTTATTAACAACATAAAGACTTTTTCTTTCGGGAAGTGGCTGAATTTTGCTTAACATGTGGAGCATATGTACGAGGTGTGTTCAAAAAATATCGCGAATTTTGTGTTTTTTTCTACTTAGATTAGCAAGAAGACTACTATTGTTTTCGGGAAGTGAACCAGGGCCCGAGCTATTCGAAAAAATCAAATGCATGGTTCGCTTTACTTGAAATTCGGTACTTAGTTGGATTTTTACTCAAATTGGAAGGAAGACTACTCTTCTTTTCATGGGCGTGGGATCGATTTAATGGCTCGAATTTGCTTAACATGTGGAACATATGTAGGTGAGCTTTTCGGCCTTCTGAGAACATTTTGTACCACCGATAAACGTTGCTTCGGTCCAAGGTAGCTTCTCCGTATGCCACAGTCAACATTCGGAATGCATCCTAGGTCTCTTTGACCTATGTATGTGATTATGTGGACAACTTTCCTTCTTTTTATAGCATATAATAAACCATCTTAAAATTCCATGTGGACGAAGTAACGGGCAAACTCTGATTTTAAAAATTTTTTTTTTTTTTTTAATTTATTTTTGTGTAGCGGAACACACTAGCGTAAAGCGCTAGTAAATTTTGAAAAATTACTTTCACGGCCGCTTTCGATTTAAATTTACATAACAAGCGCTTGTTTGCTCGTCGGCAGAGAATGTTACTCATACGCCATGCCGTGCCTGCCGTGACTTTTGCTGATTTTCGTTATCAAAGCGCGCAATCACAGTTACTTTCGCAGCGGCTAACAATAATTAGACACATACTTTACATTTATTACCGTAAACTATACACATACCATGCATTCAATATACAACTTTTCTACCAACCAAATGCGATAAAAACAAAGAAAAAACAGAAAAGTTCTTTGTATTCACCGAGTTGCTGCACAACTTCCATTGCCAAATTCAAAATCAATTTCTTAAATACTAATTTTAGTTGCTTTACTTCCGTTGCGCCTTGACGCCGACAACTTTTCATGGTTAACATTTCTTAATAACAACAAAAAATATATATCTTTCTTCGGTAATATAACTTAGGCGTGCTTGTGCGATGGCCTGGTCTGGCCTTTTATTTATTTCGTTTGTGTTGGTTCGTCGCACCCGCTAATGCCTTGACTGGTTTTTATTTAAAGTTCACTATTTTTAGTGGTAAGCAGTTTGTTTGGCAAAGTAAACACAACACAAATTTGGCTTATGTCCTTGGCGATGGTGGTCGATTTATTTTTGGATTTATTAAGTTTAAATATGTTTATTGGCGATAATGTACTGTTCGTAGTAGTAGTAGAGGTATTGGACTTATTTGTGCCAAATGAGGATGCCCTAAGTTGCCTTTTGCACTGAGTTTTGGCACAAAGACATATTTTTGAGCGAATCGGTTGTATGGTGACTATATGTTATAGTCCACCGATGCCGATGATTTTCGGTGCCAATATTTATTTGTATTTATGTATGTGTGCATAACATCAAATTACATTCTTATAGCCGCCTTTTTGGCTGAGTTTCGGCACAAAATTTCAAATCTGAACAAATCGGTTGTATGGGGGGTCCGATTTCAATGGTTTTCGGTGTCAATATTTAATTGCACTAACATATGTAGAATACCAAGTTTCGCACTCTTGGCTGCTGTTTTGACTGAGTTTTGACTTAAAATCAAATATCTGAACGAATCGGGTGCATGGGTGCTATAAGTTATAGTAGTTCCGGCAGACCAATTCCGACAAATGGTTATTTCACTTTTTCAAATTTCGAACTTAATTTTTCATAAATTTTTAAAATTATTAATTTTTAACGATTTTTTAAAGCTCTAAACAGAATTTTGTATGCTATAAAATCTTGGTATGTGTGACATCATTTAGTTTAGACAAATTGAGTGTAATTAATTATTTACAAATACGAATGTGTGTATGTATGTCTGATAGCAAATCAGTTCCGCACGACTGATTTAAGCGTTTCAAACGATAGTTCACCAGCGAACTTAGAGTTACTCTAAACTCTCTGGTTCACTACACTCTAACTAATGTAAGCTTGCGCCTAAACCTATGCGCCTAAACCTATGCACCGCATAAGCAAGTGAGCCAATAAAAATTGCATATCACGTCAGACGACAGCGATAAATAGCGGCTGTCCGTTACTTCCGCGCCAGGCGACGGCGTCACATGCGTTTAACTGCAAGGCTGAAGTTTGTGGTTTTCCATAACTTTTTTTCTCCATTTTTTTGGAATAACACTCATATGAACATATTCATATATGTGTATGTGTACCTTTAAGCAAATAAAATATGGCCGAAAAACTAAACGGCCTGACCAGTTGTCTGGATTTTATGGCTAAGTGCCACACAAAGGCATGTTGGATAGACGAAAAAACAAATTTTTTTTCTGCATGTAAATATGTATGATATTTTGTAGTTGGGAAAGTTTGGTATGACTTTTTATCACAAATCACAAATCANAAAAAAAAAAAAAAAAAAAAAAAAAAAAAAAAAAAAAAAAAAAAAAAAAAAAAAAAAAAAAAAACTTAAAAAATTAAGCAACAGCAGACAGGCCAAGTGCAATTGAATAAAAAAAAAGATACCAGCGACGACATTTTGTTGCTTCTTTATGGCAGTCATAAGAGAATTAAATGCACACACACTTATATATTTACATTTATTTATGCATTTATGTCCATATGCATGTACGTAGGTCTGCACATGCCACTATTTGCCTTTGCGCCATTTGTTTTTTTTCTTTTCTTTGTATGCACATCCGTTTGTATGACACAACGGCGATTCGCTTGGCTTGTTGCATTTGCATTGTCGGTTACACACTTTGGTAATAACCTCGAGTTTATTGCCCTCAAGGGCATTTCGTTAGTTAGTTAGTTGATTGTTGTTATTGTAGTGCAGTTCAGTGCGCCTTTAGCAATGGGGCAGGCCAACACAGGCGCGACTGACTGATAGGAGAAAAGTCAACGGCAGCTTGAACAAAAATGCATGCTTCCTTCTCTTACTACGGAGCGAATAACAAAGTGGTTAGAAAATGAACTAGTTTACATTTGGTTTACTTCCTCGCTGGTCAAAATCACACTAGTTCAAAAAATACCAGTCCTGGTGTCAATGATAATTAATTTGAATTAATTTAAGAATTAATAAACAAAATGAAAAATATTTTTTTAAGCAGCACTAGTTACTTTTTAGTCTCTTTTGTAACTAGTTTATTTTTTATATATTATTTTTGAATGATTTTTTACAATATTCAACTTTTCCGTTATTTTGCATTAAATATTTGAAAAATGATATTGTGTTAGAAAAGATAGCTGGCTGGCTCGTTTTGTTTGTTTTACTCATCAGTTTCGGTTCGGTAGTTAAAAAATTTAAACAAAACATTTTCTTACGAATATTGGAAAAAAATTAAAAAACAGTAAAAAGGTATAGTTAAAAAAAAAATAATGAAAAATTATATACGAGTATATGGATATGTACACGTATGTATAAATTAAAAAGGAAAAAAATTAATTTTTTCGGAGTACCTAATTTATACTGAAATAAAAATTTCTGGAAAAAATTAATTAAAAACAAATTTAAAAAAAATATTTTTGAACAAATGTATTTTTGAAAATAACAAAAAAGTATTTTTGGAAAAAATGCATTGTAATAAATTGTGAAAAATCAAATGAAATGATAGAATTTCAAAAATTCCAAACATTTTTTAACGAATTTAAATATATTATAATGTGGAAAAATCGATTGTACTTTAAATTACAGTCGATGTTTCGATGAAATTAAAAGTGAGCACAAAGTGGATTTTAAGTAAAAATACCAAACTTGATACCAGGGAAAAACTCAATGCTGCGAACAGGCCTTACAATAATTTGTTCATTATATCCAGACAGGAGTGTATTAAAATCATTAGTAGTGCGCTTAATAAATGATAATAAAAAATAATAAAACACAAGCTCAATGTCTGGTATATTAATCAACCAGAAAATTTCGAAAAAATGCTTTTAAAAAATAAAATATTTTTGAAAAAAAATTAAATATTAAAAATAAAATTAAAATATCAAATATAACTATGAAAATTCCAAAAAAATTATAATATAAAAAAAAAGTTTACTGTCTGGTATTAATCAACCAGAAAATTTCGAAAAAAATGCGATAAAATAAAAATTTAAAAAAAATTAAAAAAAATTAGAAATAAAAAAATTAAATTATTCCAAAAAAAAAATTAATATTTTAATATTTTTGTTTAGTGTCTGTTGTTTTAAATAACACGAGAATTTCGAAAAAAATGCTTTTAAAAAATCTTTAATACAAATTGTAGTTTTATTAAAAACAAAATTAAATATTAAAAAATATTAAAAAATGAAAAAAAAATTTAATAAATTTAATTTTAATAAATTTTTTTTTCGAAAAATATCTTTAATCAAATAAAATTACAAAAACTTAGGTGATACAAATTTCAAGAATTCCAAAAAATTTGAAAAAGAGTAAATAAAATGTTACTCACAAGCCAACGCCTGCAAGCCTAATCCCAAAAATATGCTTGGCACCGGAGCAAACTGAGAAAAAAATACTAAAAAACTAAAATAAAATCACATAAAAAAATACACAATTCCTACAAGCTAAAAGTACCAAGAACTCCATTAGCCTCCAGCATGGATGCTCGTAAACAGAAACGCCTTGGCGCCGCGCCAATTGCATCATTCGAAAAGTCATTCGAGGATAGCGTCTCATCAGCTACAACAACAAACAGCAGCACCACTAGCTCCATAACAAGCAATAGTTCAGCAACAATAACAACAATTATGCCATCAGCAGCAGCAACACAACTGAACGCAACAAAGTTCAACGCAATGCATGAACAAGAAACTATGCTGAGCCTGGAGGCGCAGAGCAATGGCGAGAAGGGCGAGTACTTGGTAAGTGAGTTGAAGAAATCTCGGCAAAGTGTCTTAAGACGCAGCAGCTTATGACTTAATTTTGTACTTTATGCGCACTGAGAGTTCACTTGTTTAATTAAAAATCATCACTTTTATTGGCATTTTCCTCTTCCAGTCTGTGCTTTAGGCACAACCAAAGCAAAAAAAATTCACCCGACAAAGAAAAAAAAATGAAATAAAAAAAATGCTCAAATTGTGTAAGATGCCAATGCGTCTACAAATTCAGGCGCAAATTATTTGCATTGCAAAGTAAAGCGTGGCGAACACTGTTAATTTGGCGTTTTTCGTAAACAAGCCAAAGGCGTTTTTGGGGGCGATGAAAGTGAGGAAAACTCGCACACGCTACGCGACAAATTCAAAGTCACGTACCTGCGGTTGTCAAAAAGGGAAGGCCAATGTGTAGAGCGCAAAAACAAACTCAAAAAACAAAAATGCACAAAAAACAGTTATTAGATCCACTAACGGTATGTAAACGTAAACAAAAGACAACACGCGCCTGCTTACTCCTGCCACCGCCGCAGAAATGAAAGCTACCAACGCTGAAAAAGCGCTGAATAAAAGCACCGCTCCAAAGCTTTGTAGTCCAGAACAGCTGTGCATACCGTTACACAGCCGTTCGTTTCGATAATATGCAAGCACTAAACGGCAGACTTACACTTAGCCTGCCTGTATATGAAAAGCTCGCAGGCTGCCTAGCAAAAAGCTCAACAGAAACCAGCCGCCAGACAAGTTGTCGTCGGCGCTGACAAACCGTTAGCTGTCAGTTGGTGTTCGGTGCGTGCGCGAAACAGCAGCTACAGGAGCCGTCGTAGTCCTACTCGCTGTCCTGTCGCTGTGCTCGGCTGGAAGAGGTGAAAAAAAACACCCAAGAAGCTTCAGTGCCGCCTCTGTCGTCACAGCCACTGCCGCTGTGTGCTGTAAGCCTCCTGGATATATTGTAGAAGCAAAGCAAGTATGTGCATTGGCACAATTACTTTTCTCCTTTCAGCGAGCATTGCCTACATTTAGGCACTCATCAAAAATCCAATAAGAATTCAATCGAAATGATTAAATAAGCAATAAAGACAACTTTGCTATTTAAAATGGCTGAAAAGTGTGTGACTTAAATAGTGCCTGTATGTGTGTGCACGAGTGTAGTGCCAAGCTTTAGTGTCGAAAAATGTGCTCGGTATAAAAGAAAATTTTTTGTGTACCCTGAATTACGAATTATCCACGACTCAGTCGTGACATTGTAATGTAGAGTCGCACATTTTTATTTTTTTTTGGTTTTCCTTTTCGTTTTCGTTTTTGTTTTCGTTTTTTTTTTTCTGAGAAAACTGAATTCTCTTAAATAATTTAAGTGTGCATAACTTTAGGCGCATTTCATACACGACACACGCTGCTCTGTGTGGAGTGTCTTAATTCAAGGCTTTCATGCACAAGCTCAAGTGCACAGGTAGATGTTTGTCTGTATGTATGTATATTTGTGTGCTGAAAATCCCTACACTACAACAAATAGCCAATGTACATGCATACATACACGTTCATATGTATAAATATCAAAATAGCAGCCGATTGAGCTGAGCCAGTCATTAGATGAAAGGCGAGCATAAAGAAAAATAATTAAGAAAAAAATATAAGAAAAATTCGAAAAGCAATAAAAAGTGAAATTATCGTAATTATAATTATAGTTTTTTTTTATTTAACATTTTTTTTCTAATATTTCACTTGGCTTCTCTCGCTAAAACCGACCTGCCTTTATGAAAGCAAGACGAAAAGTAAGGAAATTTGGCACATTTCAGGAGCGAGTGTTGCACGAGACGTGCCGAGACAGCTTCTAGCAAATATTTTAATTAAATTAATGTAATAAAACTTCCGAAGAGAAGTAGCTAAGGAAGCGAACAATCAAAGCAAAAAGATCGAAGAAGTGCAAACTGCATGCGAATTTGTGAAAAATATTAAACAATTTACCTCAGCAAAAAATATACCAAACTTTTAAAGTGCAGTACTAGTATGTATGTATGTATGTTTTTGTGCGTGTGTTTTTATTGTAAAATTTCCAGTTCCTTTTGACATAAAGTGACACAGAAAACTGTCGAAAAATTGCTTTAAATTAAAATGGGAAGAAAAATAATGTACATACATACATATCCAGGTATGTGACGGACAAAAAATTGTCTATAGCCAAAGGAACTAATAAAAAAACTAGTTTACTAAGCAAACTAATCAGCCAAATGTCCTTTTTTCAATACAAATAACCTGTAAAAAATGAACAAAAAATTTGACTAGTTTAATTTTGCACCAAAATAACATTTTCTTATTTATTTAAAATCGATACAAAAAAAATTAATTAATTTTTAATTTTTGCTCAAAAATATACTAGTTCCATACTAGTACAAAATGAACCAAACATGTGACTAATTTATTTTTGTACCAAAATAACATTTTTATTTATTTAAATTCAATACAAAGATAATAAATTTATTTTTAATTTTTGCTCAAAAATATACTAATTCCATACTAGTACAAAATGAACCAAACATGCGACTAATTTATTTTTGCAGCAAAATAAAATTTTCTCATTTATTTAAAAACGATATAAAAAAATTAAATTTTTTTCTATTTTTGGTCTAAAATATACTAATTCCATACTAGTATAAAACGAATCAAAAATGCGACTAATTTATTTTTGTACCAAAATAACATTTTTTTATTTATTTAAAATCGATACAAAAAAAAAATAAATTAATTTTTAATTTTTGGTTAAAAATATACTAATTCCATACTAGTACAAAATGAACCAAAAATGTGACGAGCTTATTTTTGAATAAAAATATTTTTATTTTCCTGTTAAATGGATTCAGAAACAAATAATTTTTATTTAAAAATGTGTCTAGTTTATTTTTGAACCGAAATACTGTTTTATTTGGTTTTAAAATTGATTAATAATTGATTATTAACTACAAAAAAATATTAAAGCCAGTTTTGTACTAGTAAAAAATGAACCAAAAATGTGGATAGTTCATTTTGTTGAAAATAATGTTTCTATTTACTTAAAGAGGAAATAAAGAAATTAATTCTATATTTTTGTTCAAAAATATACCAATTCCATACTAGTACAAAACGAACCAAAAGTGTGCGTAGTTTATTTTTGAGCAAAAATATTCTTTATTTGGTTATAAAATGGTTTGAAAAATATATGATTTTTAATTAAACAAAAATAAATAAACCAGTTCCATACTAGTAGAAAATAAACCAAAAAGTGACTAGTTTATTATTATAGCAAAATAATGTTTTTTTTTTTATTTATGCAAAAAGATTTTACAGAAAATAAATAATTTTTTAAGAAACAAAAAAAATACCAGTTCCCATACTAGTTACAAATAGAGAAAACTAGTGACTAAATAGTGTTTTCTTTTTGAATGGAAATAAAGCAAATAAAAGAATTATACTTGGGCGCTGTGTAAGGTATAAAAACTGTCAGTTTTTGCTCAAATATATACCACTTTAATATCAGGTCAAGGCAGACAAAAATTTCACCAGTTTATTTTAAACCGGAATAATAAAAAATAAATAATTTTTATTGGCAGATATTTTTCGGTCTCAAATATACCAGTTACATACTAGTTAGAAATGGGAAAAAAACTTGCCGGCTTATTTTTGAAGAAAAATATTTTTTTTTGCCAGTGTTTAAGCTGAAATATAGAAAATAAAATAATGATTGGTGTATAAATACTTTACAAGCCGATTTTAGATTTTTTGCTTTAGATTAGATATAATTAAATAAATATATAATTTTTTGAGAAAATTATAGAAAAAAGTTTAACAAATTAAATGAAAGCATTAATCAGTAGCTTTGTAGCCAATAAAAATAAATTATTTTCTCTCCAGCTAGTGAGATTTGAGCCTCCTGTATTCTACTGGTATTTTTTCTGCCCACGAATTTTGCGCCATACATACATACATACATACATATATTATATTTACAGTATTCACAGCATCGACAGACAGTTAATCAAATTGCAAAGTTTTCACATGTTGTCACAAGTAACTCAAAGTAAATTCAATAAAACTTTCAAAAAGCGGAAGTAAAAAAGAAGAATTACAAAGAAATCAATTTAATTATGAAAAAGTGTGTACAGAGAGTGGAAAGTAAATATGTAAAAGATATACAAAAGACAAATAAAACTACTTGACATAAACATGCATATGTATACGTGTATGTAAATATGTATAGCATATGCAAGTATAAGATTTATGCAACAGCGGAAGCAGCACTCATACACACACATGGACATATGTATATACAAAAATGTGTGAAAGATGAGCGACAGCAGAAGGAGAAAACTTCATTTTTATATATATATTATATATATACATAAAAAGCATATATGCATATGTATGTATATTGTATATTATGTATGTTCAACGGAAATCTCATTACAAAACCGCAACCAAAAAGAGAGGAAACCAAAAAGTTTAACGTTATTTCCTTTTAGAGTCGTTCTTCGCCTCAATTTGTGGTGCTGGGAGGAAGTGGCGATTTCGTATGTCACAGAAGGGTTGTGGAAAACTCATTACTTTTCCAATGTGTAACTGTTATGTTGCAGTTTTCATGACAACAACAAATTCAGAGCGAATTTTTCCCCAAATCACTTTATTGTTCTTTAAACTGATGAAATCTGGTTGCCAAATTAAGTACCAATACCACATACGCTCGAAATGGCTAATATTTTCTGCAAGTACAAAAGTCTGGTAATAAAATATTTTTAACCCATTAGCTCCCACCCAAAATGTGTCGTTTTGATGCTTCCTCCTAAAGCTCACTCAAAGTCCAAATGCGCCATAAAACTTTTCTTTGGAAAATTTTACACGAAGCCTTCTTAGGAGAACTTTAAAGTCTCCAGAATAAAAGTAACAAAAAGTGCCCCTAGAAGTAGGCAACATTTTTTCGTTTCAAAAATATTTAAAATATATGTAGTAGTGAGCAAAATAAAATTATTAAATTGCCTTCGACGGCTAAAAAAAAATCGCGGATGGAATGAGTTTTAGAGTTCAGTCAACGTCACGAGTACGCGTTAAGAGCTAGAGACAGTCTGATAACTACTTTACAGAATACAATAACAGAGTTCGCTGCGTGAGTACTAAATTCTGTGCTGTTAATGCAACTCAACTCAATCTACTCTAGCAGGCAATCTGCCATTAAGGCTCTGCAATGCAATCACAACACACCCAATTGCAATAGCTGCCACGTAAAACCACCGTGTTTTCAGTACCCGAACAAAGCAACATTCCTCCAACTGTGCGGCCAACCATCAAGGTATTGTTGGTGAATCGGCCTAAACACAATGAATTCTCCACACGTACGTCTTACCGCGGCCAAATATCTGCAAAGATCGCCATTCACAATGAGAACTAATAGCAGTTGGTGGAAGAAAACCACATTCAGGCATTTAGGGTAGCCATTATTCAAAGAGGAGAGAAAAGAGTATTTGCTACTTCTAAACCTGTTCACCATTATCATTAAAAATGGCATAATGACCGTAGAGGACAGATGGGTATGGTTACTCTAGGGCGGAGAATGTTCTACAACTTTATTTCTGTCGCTTAACCACTACAGATTAGGCGCGCTCCAAGAATTTACCTATGAGGCAATAGCACTCGCGATAGTAGGGTCGTTATACCAGCAAGACATGGATTTTTACCCAGCAAAGGTCTGTTGTCATTCCCACAATATTTGCCGAAAACCAAGGAGAAGTCACCTCACCACTATCTCTACAACAGGGCAGTCTTTTTTTTAATAAAGGTTGACTACTCAAAGAAGCTGAAGCTGAACAAGAATATATGAAACTTGGCGGCGAAGTTTTGATGCAACCAATAATTAGCCCGGAGTTTGCCCTATCTGACTACCAATTGTTTCGGTCTGATGGAGTTACTTAGCTACCCGATCTCGGCCGCGATAGTCGTCTGGTTAGCATTGCGTACTGCCATAATGAAGACCAGGGTTGGAGTCCTGGTCCGACCAACAACTAAAAATAAAAAAAATGTATTTGAATAAAAAATGAATGAGTCAAGACCTCCGAGTGTATTTCTGACATAAAAAAGGGCTCCTCATGAAAAAACCCGTCAGCTGTTCGGAGGCGCCTTAGCATGAACTATAGGTCACTCCACTTTATTAGAAAAACATCAAGCAGCTCGGCCGAAAATCGCTTCAGCGGTTAGAAAGCGCCATTTTTATATACATACATTACATTATATACATACATATGTATATAATTTTCAAGTTGATCAGTATTAATTTTCCTATCACAGCGCTGCCTGAAATAAAAGTTTATAAATACTCATTAATTATGCATTTATGTACTTTGTAATAAGTAGATACCAAATTAAGGACTCATTAAAATACATATTTCGATATTTTTTTCATATTTCCTCTGCTTCTTCTCACCACTCATATTACTCTCTTACGCAGATGGAGGAGCCACACGAGCCGCATAGTATAAGAAAAACAACAGTAACAACCGACACTACAACAGCAAAAACAAAATATGCTCAACAACAACATCATCATCAACAACAACAACAACAACAACAACCCAGTATTGCTATATCCGTATCGGGGAGTGGCGTTATTGTAACAGACGCAGACGCCACAACCAGCAGCAGCAACGCATCTACCGTCGTACCAAGCAATAGAATTAAATACGATGGCAACAATACGAAGCGACCACCATCTTTAAAGGCAACTCACACGACCAACAACACCGCCACCAGCAGCACTACTGCCCTGGTTGGCAGCGATGCAGTTGGTCAGCCGCAAATGCAGCAGCAGCAGCAGCAGCAGCAGCAGCAGTTGTTGTCGGGTGTGTGTGGCAGCGGCACATTTAAAGGGGCCACCACGCTTACCACACCCTCGACGCCGCGCATCGAATTGAGTCGTGCATCGTCGTCATCGCATCACGAAGAGGATAGCCGGGAAAGCAGTCCGGAGAATGTGTTCGACCAGGTGATAATAATGCGAGAATTGTCGTTTGTAAATGTGCTCGTTTGTGTACATATGTACATATAGATAAGTATGTATGTGTGTAGAAGTGCATGAGGTTTGTAGGTGTACGCGTACATATGTACATACGTGTATGTGTGTGTAGTGCTTGTATAAGTAAGTCAAATCAGTCACCGGCACACAGTAAATGAAACACTCACGGCACGTTTGTTCGCTGGCTTGTGAGATGGGTCTGTAGAGGCTACACACTTAGAGGGTAGCTAGGGTTGACTGTGCATTTGTTGCTGCGGTTGAGAAGCGAGGTTGGCTTGCTGTTTGCTTCTATTTTTTACTTTATTTTTCAAATCTTTCACTCGTTTCTTACAATAATTATTGTCACATTCCCGCACATAACACATATACACACACACACACAAAAGCTCGAACAAAAGCGTGCACATTCATGCTTAACTGTCGTTATTGAATTTATATCCTGTTGCTGCCTGCCTGTCCGCCTGTAACGCCTCAGCCGAGCATTCGAACACCACACTTTACACTTTTACCAACCATTAAAGCCCTTTCCTTTACACCCTGTCACCTGCCAACATTCATTTATGCACAATTCTTGTTGTGGCTGATGTTGTTGTTTTGTTGATTGTTGTTGTTGTTGAATTGTCACTTGCCGTCTTTTAACTTTTATTTACAGAATTCATATAATATTTACTTCGCTTTAGATTTCTTGCAATTTTTGCACTTTTTACTCTCTTTCCATTTTCTTCCTCCATTTCGCTTTTGTTGGTTAATGAGTTCAGCACGAAAGTGGACCAGGCGACAATAGAAATGGGCGCATAGTGAAATTCATGTATAGTAGGTAGTGAGGTGGGCAGAGAGTTGGCACAGCGTTGCAGTGCCTGCAGTGGGTGTGCTCTTAAGTGCACTTAAATTGTCAATTTTGCAGATGGTTTATGAGTAAATTAATGTCAAAAATACTTGAAAATTTCTTTAGTTGAAAACGAATTTGTTTTTACAATGAAAAAACTTGAAAATTTCTTTAGTTGAAAACGAATTTGTTTTTACAATGAAAAATAGTTGAAAATAAGCTTTAAATAACTTTTTAGCATTAAAATACAATCAAAATAAAAAAAGCTTCTATTTAAGCTTTGTAAATAATATATATGTATGTGTATAAATCAGCATATAAATATATATTAAATATAAAAACACTCAAAATTATTTTCAAAGATAAATAGTTTCACATTTCTTGTGGTGTAATAAGTATTAAGCAGCTGTGACATTTGGTTGCGGCCCACTGTGACTGGCACACAGCGGAAGAACAAGAATGCAATCAAAATAAATGAATGCTTATCATTACTCGTTTTATTTGGCTTGCAGCAAATGATTATTTAAATTGTTATTTTCGACTGCGACTGGCAATAATTATAATATTTGGAATAAAATGTAATAATTCGTAATACACTAACAAAGCATACAAATCGTAGTGAACTAAAATTATTGTAAATAAAAGCGGTCGACTGCTTCAACGAAATGTTGTGAAATGCCAGTTTAATGATTAAAGAAATAATATTGAGTGCAAGCACACAAAAATTAAAGTAAAAAACTTAAAAATTTAGTTCATTCAAAAAAAAAAAATTAAAAATCAAATAAACAAAAAATATTCAGCAATGAATCAAGCCATCTTGAACGGCGCAATTATAGCAACGTTTATAGACGCAATTCCATAGAAATTATTGAGCTGTAGGGGAAGCATATATAGTACCAAAGCCAATTATTACCCTCTATACACAACCAAAATGGGTATCGACTAGAAATTTTAACTAATTCCCCAAGATCAGTTGGTGAACCTGTTTACCAGTAATAAGAGCAAAACTTCTTTATAGTCCGAGTATGCCGTGACGCGTGAAAAACAAAGTGATAAACGCTCAACTCTCTAACAATACTCAAAGCTACGCACTCTTACACATAAGTCCGTACTCACCGAACAGACCAAATGAGTCTTTAGATGCAATTCTGAACATCCTACCACTGAACTTTGTGTTAAAGCAGCCAGCAGCAATAGTCTAGCCCTTGGTCTAGAGAAATATTGGAGCATTCGTAAAAATATTGGAAACATACATATAAGTATATACCAAGTAACACAGACTGTTTTTATTCAACATCTGTTACTCATTGTAGTGTTTTTACGACGCTTCGGAGTAAGATCTCTGATATCTCAAAGGCTGTAAATTATATTTGAAACAAATTCACCGATAAATATTTCTTCAGCTACAAACTCGATAGTTTTGGCGCACAGGCACTAATCTATACAAGACTAAACATTACAATCTACCTCTCGCTTGGGTACATAGTCAAAAGAACAAGCTTATTCTTCCCTATAAAGAAGCCTTTGGCATAACTTTTGAGACGTACGCTTTGCTACTCGCAGAATTTATCTATGAACGAAAAGCGGAAGAGCTCACACGAAATAAACACTTTTGAAAAAGAGGAGGATTACTTTGAGTACTCAAATACTATCATTTGATGTGTTGGTAATGCTCCTGGATATGCAAAGACTTAGTGAAGCAAGAAACGATCTCTAATTTTCTGTTTGTCCTTCTTCAAATAGCATGAGAAATATAAATTTGAGATTGGTAAAAACAAAACAATTCAAAAAATTATGATCTCAGACCCACAAACTCTGGTCTAGAAATATTCGATGCACCCGCCATGGTAGACAATGCAACTTTATCTTTGTTAAAGTGGAACGAAACTATCGCCTGCGGCAAATCCAGGTTAACTTGACTGAAATGATATAAAAAGAGATTACGGGATACTTACTGCTTAAAAAGAGAGGTCTGGCCCTGAGTAATATTAGTCCTGGTAGGCCACCATAAGAGCGGACGATATGCTGAGAGACTTTGGGTTCCGTTTAGGAGATGCTGCAGAAACTGGTTGATGAGGAGAACGAAACGATAATGATAATTGCCCTGAGGGGAGCAGTGCTAGATACTCTACTGAAGATAGCCAACGTCAAAGTCATAAATCTAATTAGGTTCATTAGAGATTCGAAATGGTTGAATGGCATAGCTTAATGATCAAGTTTTTGTGGCATCACAATGAGTCTTATTTCAGGCTTATGTGTACATAACCTAATTTGATCTTCCTAAGAAAATGGGGCATCTACAAAAAAAAAGGACTAAGAGTGTCCTCTATGAAATACTGTGGGAATAGTAGAAACGATGGGCAGATGGAAGAAACTGTGCCTTTGGTGGCATTGGATTCCAAAATTTGGGTACTCTGATCCTTGATTACGTGTTTGTTGTTGTTGTAGCCGCGGGATTACTGTTCAAAATGGGTAATGTTGCGGGTGTGACCGCGTTATGATTCGAGTCCTTCCGGTATAAGTATCCAGCCGTCGCGGGAACTATTGGATTTTTATCGCCTCTTACGCGCCTTTTCGCGGGTGAGTTCTTGAACTTCTAATAAGCAGAGAGATCCAGTATGATCTATCTTAGATGGCTGATCGCGCGATGTATGTACGATTCATGAGGCTAATCGAAGTCAGCAATGACTATTAGGCACGAAAACAAAATGTTAACGGCAGCCTCGCAACGGGAGTCGCGTCTACTACATGCCGTATGTATGTTTATATGTATTAGCGGCTTTTTAACATCGTAGCTGTGAATTTCACGAAGTACACACACACACACACTTGAATATACATATATTTTTACCTTGACAACTAACTCACTGACTTTAGGACAAAAGTGATTTGAATGTTTTATNATAAACCGTAGCCACGTTCTACAACTTTCAACGACGTGCGTCTATCATTTGAGGTACATACATACACATACACACACACACACACATACACACACTAACGCATTAGTTATCGGCTCTTACGAGAGGTATGCCTTTCGTGGGTGAATTCTTGAACCTCTAATAAGCAGAGAGATCCAGTATGATCTATCGCGCGATGTATGTACGATTTATGAGGCTAAACGAAGGCAGCAATGACTATTAGGCACGAAAACAAAATGTTAACGGCAAAGGGAGTCGCGTCTACTACATCTCGTATGTATGTTTATATGTATTAGCGGCTTTTTAACAACGTAGCTGCGAATTTCACGAAGTACACACACACACACACTTGAATATACATATATTTTTACCTTGACAACTAACTCACTGACTTTAGGACAAAAGTGATTTGAATGTTTTATGAAACAATTAATTTGACCCACTTTACATACACACACACACACACACACACACCCTTATATGTATGTACGCATACTTTTTCAACAGTTTTGCAAGCAATGCCAAGCAAGAACAACAACAGCCGTTGTTCCAAGAATAACAGCAAAAGCAAACCAACTTTCCGCTGTGTAGAAAAAGCGCCGGATGACAAGCTATTATTCATTGTTGTTAGTCGGAGCTTCTCATTTGCTAGTGTGACAAGTAGAAGTTGCAACTGATTGTTGGTGTTTACACGCCTACTCCTTTTCAAATGCTGCTGTCAACACTTAAAGCAATTGTTTTCGGTTTCGGGCTACCGTACCAAAAGAGGTTCTTACGAACCGTTGTTTTGTCTTTAATGAGCATGATCTTGTAGTGTTGACGTTAAAAGCTTCGCGCACCCCAACGCATTGGACCGCAAAAACAACTCTTTACTCTCCGCAGCACACAAACTTGAACCCATGGGAGGGGCGCAGCGAGTGCTTCGGTTTCGGGTTAAGTGTTGTAGGAGCTGACTGACGACTCAGGAGCTGACTGATGCGTGTAAGCGTTGTTGTGGAGGTGCTTGTAGACACTGCCTGTTGCTGAAGTTCCATGTGAGCACTCAAAATTAATAGGAAAAAAAAATAAAAATAATAATAAAATGGAAAGTGCAGGAAAACAATACAAAAATGCTCTCGACAGGCGAGTGAAAATCTGGTAAGCAGTAAATATATATATATATATATATATATATATATNTGTTGTGATGCTCCTGCACCGCTTAAGAGCCATGTTATATATTTCAATGCCACTCACTTTTTCACTCTCTTCCCCCACCTCTTTGAAACTTTGATTTTACTTACTGCAAATGGTTTGTTGCAAGCTGTTTTGTTGTTGTTGTTGTTGTTTCCCCACTTTTTATAATGAAAATTCAGTAGAAAGTTGAAAGTGCATGACCCACTTAAATGCCAGTCGCCAGTCACCAGTCACTGCACGGCAGCACTCAACAGTTATGAGAAGTTGCGCCGCCACCGCAGCGAGCGTAAATGCGAGCAACAAAAGTAAAAGTCTATAGTTAGTATGTGTGTGTGTATGTATGTAAGTGCAGCATAAAAGCTGAAAACTGGCAGTGGACTGAGATTTGAACGCAAGGCTTTTCCACTTGCAGTTTAAATTATTGAATTAACTCTCCGGCAGCTTTTGTCAGGAGTAGTAAGAGAAAGTAGTTTTCTTATTGGCTTTTGCTTGCAGATCGAAATTGTTTGCGCTTCGATAATTTTCAAGCAAGGAAAGCTGCAACTTTGCAAACAGTACTTAAAATAAAATTGAATGATGTCTGTCCAACGAAAATGTTCTTGAAAATCTATTCACTTAATTGCAGAGTTTGAAGGCAGTCAGTCTTCTTCTTTCTCGTTGACGTATTCACCGCTTACGTGATCAAAAGTAGCACACCATTCGTTTCCTCTCTTTATTCGCCTAACATGGTGTTGCCTGTGTATCGGATACTCGTCAAGTGATGCTGTTGAATTGGGCGAAATCAAGTTGTAACAAGGACTCGACGCGGGCATACCTCTCTCCTCTACAAAATAGCTGCTCAGCGTGTTCTTAACAAGTAGAGTCATAAGCAAATAGCGAGGTGGAGGCACATGCCCATTGATCGAAGTGAAAAGAACAACGTCTCTCTATTTCCAAACAGGATCTTCATGAGTATAAGAACCAGACACAGTCAGTTGGCGATGCATAGTGGATGGAAGGCTTACACCTCTAATGACTTTTGTACAACAGCAGTGACAAAGGCGAGGAGGAGCGAGCCCTCAGTGTGTTACCCTGTTACCACTGCTTTGCAGAGCTTATATTCTTGAGACAGGTCAACAAAGCTGCTTGACCCCATGCATAAATATATTTGATCTGCACGTCCTACCATAGTTATTGATTAGTACCATACAGGCCTTTTCTACTTCAATTTCTGGTACTTCATTTCCAAGGTGCTAGCTGGATTTGGTAGATTAAAAGACCCGACATACTAACACCATCAGAGTATGTCCGCGAACTCTCCAAAAATTGTATATATAGTCCTCCCTCACTACTCATCTGTAGTCACGTCACAGGAAACCCTCTATCTCTCATCGGTAAGCCACTAGAGACATAGTTCTTAAGTTGACTGGGTGAGAAGGAAAGTATTGTATCGTTGATTGAGGGAAGTTCAAGTTTTACTAGAACTAACCGCCTGGCTCGTTACCTGCCTTGGAAGCAACTTGATGCTAACAAAAACTGGGCCGTCTCGTTATGCGACGATTTGCACACCTCATCGTCGCTATCTAATGAAATTTTCGTTAACTCTTTTCACTCTTCTACTCTTTGCTCTTTGTTGTTTAGAATTTACCACATTAATTACGTACTGTACGAACATTAAATTAACTTAATTTGGTTACGGCGTCATAAACCGTAGCCACGTTCTACAACTTTCAACGACGTGCGTCTATCATTTGAGGTACATACATACACATACACACACACACACACATACACACACCCTAACGCATTAGCGGTTTTTGTGGCGATCTCTACACGCATTTGAATGCTTACTAATTGCACGCCCACATAGCTTGGCCCACTTGCCGCCTCACAGCTAGTCGCCTTCCCACAAACACACACACACACATACACACACATGTACACATGCACACATGCACACATGATGTTCAAATCTAACTGTCATATATCTGTCAGTGAACGCAGCTGATAAATTTGGTACGTCGCATGGGATTAGCAGATTATTGTTATTGTAATTGTTGTAAAGCATTTAATGTATGTAAGCACGCACACAAAAATATTGAGCGTAAGTCGAACATGAACACACACAAACACACAATTAAAGGCTTTTAAACAGCGCGTGCTTAAATTTTTATATATTATATGTACACATACATGTGCATATGTGGGTATATAAGCACGCTTTCTATTATATCCTGTTGTTAAATAGTGAAAATCAAACTGAAGTATACTAGTCTCATACTAGTTCAAAATGTACTAGTTGAAACTCACGCTTATTTTCGGTCAGCAAACTGCCTCTTGTCAAATTTTCCCGAGAACTTGGCTAGCCTTGTACTAGTTCAAAATAGACTAGTTCAAGAAGGAATGCTTAAACTTGCGCTAAAGTTTAGTAAAAAAAAGTTCCTACGTCTGATTTCTATTTATTGACCAGCAGACTGGCCATTGTTAGATCGACACCAGTAATACCACTCTTATACTAGTTCAAAACGATCTAGTACAAATTGAACCAGTTGAAAATCAATTTTATTTTATCTTTTATCAACATGTTTGATTACATTGTTTTACACACATTTTTGCTTGTACATTATTTAATATTTTTCTGCACACGATTTTGTGGATTTTCATATGATCTTTAAACTATCTAAATAGTACAACAACATCGTGTTGAGTGATATTGAAATTTAAAATAATATTAAAAAAAATGTTTAATTAAAATTTTTATATTTGTTACCAGTTCAGTATTTTTTCGGACTAGTGTAATTTCAAATGGGGAAACTAGTCTCTTTTGTAACCAGTTTGCACTGCACAATTTACATATTCCTAAGCGAGCGCATATTGAACCACTCTCATTGCTGCACACACACACATACATACATATATGCACGTACATTTTACAGCCACGTGCACATCTGCATACATACGTACACACATACCTATGTATAAACAGCGCGTATGTGTGCATGTATGTAAATATCTTTCGACACTGACACTTGAATAGTATAAATTATACTTTGCTTTTCTCTTTTTTCTTCTTCCCTTTACATACATATACTTCTCTGTATACACATGTACATCTCTTTTATCACGTTTACTTTAATATATATGTACATACATACATATATACTCGTACACGTCCTTCACACGCGCAAATTGGTACACTTTGCTGTTCTCTCTCGCCTTTCATACGCACAACCATACTCCATTTTTTCTTTTTTTTCCCATTGCATACTTTTATGCGTACTCACCGCTTTTGTGCTCCAAAAAAAAAACCTCATTAAATTCCATTGCAAAAAAATTCTGCGCTCTGTAAATTCTCTTTTCTTTCATTTTATTTTTATTATTCAAAATTGTTGTTTTGTTTTTGTCATGTTTTGTTCGAAAAAAAAAAACTGTTTTTTGTTTTTGTTTTGATTTTGCAATAAAAATAATAATCAAATGAAGGTTGGCACTGGCACCCTACAGGAAACAATCGGTGTGGGTTTTCGCGAAGAGGGCGCCCTGGAGTTGCGCAGTTCAACGGAGGAATTGTACTTTATGGATCCGGAGCAGAAGAAGGAGGAGCAGGAGAAGTTACAACAGCAGGTGAGCGCTTTTGAGAAATAATTATGCAAAATTTTAATTATTTACATAAAGATATGGTACATATATAGATTATATAAACGTATATATACATACATATATATATAAAAAAATGCTTCAATGACTTCAAAGTTTAATGTGGACGCATGGGCATATTTATAATAACCTCTCCCCCTATTGCTATGCAATTTTTCAACGCCAACAATAGAAACCTAAATTTCTTCTTTATAATTTTAAATAAAACTCGAAGGATTTGGGAAGACAGCGAAATCGTTAAAATGTATACTAGCTTTGTTAACTTGCAAAAATGTATTAAATTAACGATATTACACAGTGCCCGTGAAAAGTATAGATTTTTTCTAAATGTTACTCATGCCATTTATAACCCCAGCTGTGAGTCTAACTACACCCTCAGCTGTGCCAAATCAAAACACAAATGCCGCTCCAACGAGTTCAATTAAAATTTCGTAGCATAGTTTTAGGGTGTGTCGTATCAAAGCCGAAGAATATAATTAATTTAACACAAAATTCTGCCAATCATTAATGAACCTGGTACATTGTTGGGCAATTCCAAAAAAAAAATGTATACAAATATACGCTCACACACACATAGTTACATACATGCATACATAGGCAAATGTTTTATGCAAAATCAGTGGAAATTGGTTACAAACCAAATAGGAAAGCACTGAGGGTGAGCAACAGCAAGTAAACATGGCAGTTGTCCGTCGATACGAATGCCCCACAATAAAAACCAACAACAATGCACTTGTGTACATACATATGTTGGCAGCCACAACTGGAGCATGACACACATAAATATGCACTGCATTGAATACAAAAAGAAGAAGAAAAAAAAATAAAACCAATTTTATTGTAGTGGAAACCGAAAATATTGCAACATCAATGAGCGCCCAACAAGAGCATACAAATATTTCAATATACCTCATGTCTCATGCCCCTCCAGCCGCCCCGCACTCCCTAATGCCACTCGCATGGCACAGCAGCAGCGGCAACAACTTGGACTAGTTTCGTTGGTGCAAAATGGAAACCCTTTCGAAACTTTCATGCATCAACACTCAACGCTCAGCATTGAACATTTACGGATATTGCTGGAAATACACACACATGCAACAAATAAACGAATACAAATGTGTTTTTTCACTTCCGTTGCACACACCGCCGCCAGCCGGCGACGACGCTTTGCTGGTGACCAAATGTAGGTTAACTTTGGAGAAAATTTTAGCAAATGCCCGAGCTCGTTGGGTGCTCGACTTCGAATGGCATCATTCAAATTTTATGAGTTTTTCCCCCCCTCCAGTTTTAATTTTGTTGTTGTTGTTGTTGTTGTTATGTTTTTATAGCAAAGCATAACAATAGGAGCACTGATTTCGCCCACTTTTAGATGTGAGTGTGACCACATAAGCAGTAATTTCATAACAGACGTAACAGAATTGTGTTCATACACACACAAACACGCACACACACACACATACATATGTAGATACATCCAACTTGATGAAAATGTATAACTATTAAGCTTATGTTGGGCGGGCACCGAGTATCATTTGAAAATATGTCACTGATGGTATTTATGTTGTCAAAAGGCAAGACTGCGATTGTGTGTGTTTGGCTAGCAAATGGCGATCTTGAGACCAGGCAAGTGTATTGCAAAAGCAGTTCGGTGGTTGAAGAGCGCTCCGTAGCGAGGTCTTAACGGCTTCTCATACTCTCTTTCGCTCTCATACTCGTCTCCGATCCACCTAAGTCTGTGTATATATCCACTGCGACAGAATCTTCGCACCACGTTAACCAAGTCTTTGAATGTCACCTAATGACTCATCTATTACCGATTTACCTTAGGTGCGAACCCGTCGAAACAACGCGTTTTATGAGCTCGCCTCCTGAGCCTCCTCTTGGAAGACTTTCACATATCTACTAATTTTCGCTACTATCCTAAGCGGCTTCGTGTGGAGCTCAACGGAAAGTGAAATGGTATGTAGCCTCCAACATTGCCGGTCCACCTTTGCTGATGTCGATGTCGGTTGCATAGTTGGCTCCAGCCTCCGCGACTGAACTGCTCTTCGTGTTCTAAAGATAGTTAAGACTGGGGGGCTCGAAAATATTGGAGAAAGGAAGCACTTTGTTTCTTCAGAGATGGGTCAAAACTTGACCTGGGTAGCAAAGGCAACACAGGCAGCTAAGACTTCTAGAACGTAAGTAAGAGAGACGGCTTGCCATGGCTGGATGGTCAGTTGAAAGAGGAGTTTAAGGACTTGATCCTAGCTTAGCCATTGGCTCTTTGATGCTTTTCACACAACGCTGGGCCCGTTGCATCGAAATGTCGTTTCTCTAAGTGGTAAGTGTGGTTCGTATTCACTAGCAGCGCCTTAGGTGGAAGCTGTTAGGTTGTGGCGCCAGTCTTACTCGTCTATTGCAGTCAGACTTCATGGCAAGCTGCTCTTTGAGAGGCGGTTGTCGGTTGTAGCAAGCTCAGCTACAACTCTGTGTTGGTCATAATGGTGCTATGGACTATGCTGTCACCAACGAAGGACTCAGATTTTTTAGCGGCTTCGAATGTTTTTGAAATCGTTAAGCGATTCCAACGTACACAAAGAGTACAAATAAATTACTGGGAGAGCAGGTAGACTTGCAAAAGAGAGCTTGGGTTATTTTCACCAAATGCCAGGGAGGGAAGAATCGAATCGTCTGAGTACAAAGTTTTGAGACGCCAAGTCATTCTCGATGCCCCAAGGTAAAGCCTTATTGAAAATAAGGCGTTAGGATAAACAAGGAGGCGCAGTGGGCTTGCTCATTGTGGTCGATTGCAGTAAGGCTTTCAGCTTTCTCTTTCAACTTGCCAACCAACAGAACGCAACCTTTTCGATGTCTAAACCCCCGCACTTGTCATTTGTCCATTGGCAGTGACCCAGTAAAAGGCTCCAGTAACCAAACTGAGCCTCAGTTTTCGCTCAGAAATTTCACGGAGATTCTCTAAATATTTTAGTTCGCTCCGAGTGTTTAAAAACACACTTCAGTCATTCGTAAATCAATTCTACTTCCTTTTACTTTTCTTCCCTTTCCATTCTCCTTTGTTTACGACACTCCACCGTTCTCTCTATACATTGCGATATAATTAAATCAGACAGCAATCGTTTTTCAGTTGCGCCAACCATTTATCCCTGCAGACGCCGTGTCGCCGCGCACATAGGCTGTCAGCCGTCTCAATATTGATGCCTACCCACCACATTGTCTGTGCTTCCTTGTCGTACTTCGCTCAACGCTGCTGTCACAGGCAATGATAGCGCATTGTCTGCCTCAGCTGATAGTCATTTGGGGCACTCGTGAAAGTTGTCAGCTATGCCTTTGTCTCTTATGACAATTGAAATTCAATTATTATGACTCGTCAAACAGACGCGAGGCACCAACGCGTAGCTACTAAGCCGACAGCAGTCAGCAGTTGAGGCGTTGAGCTTTAGCTGTTTGCTATCTGAATATTTAAGTTGCTTTAAGAACAGATTGTTTACTCCAAGCGCTTTACAATTTGCTATAAAAATCTCTTTTCGCAGGTCAAACGCTCGTCGCCGCATATTTTTAAATTTGACGACCATCAAAGTTATTTGCAACAGCATCAGCGCAAAGACTCCGCCAGCTCCGAGGTCGCCGCATTGCTTTGTATTTCCGGACGCACAAGTCGCATTTCCAGTGTCGGCAGCCAAGGCTCGGCTGTGAGTCGTCTATCGGCCGTGTCGGGCGTTTCACGTTCGCCCTCGCCACATCGCATGCTCTTGGAGACTTCATTTTGTGGACCGAAGCCATTGGAGAATGTATTGGATGGACGTGTATCAACCACGATAGAGCCACCGACTGCCGAGCTGTTGGAGCAAGTGCTGCTCGCACGTAAACACGATCCTACGCAAGCCATGCTGGCGGAGGGCATCACTGTGGAGAGTTCACCCCAGAAAAAGAAACCAGCACTGTCAAACGGTGAGGCTAAGCCGCCGCAATCGTCGCAGACGTCGGTAAAAAGCGCTAAGAAAGCTGAGCGTCCTAATGCGGTTGCTATTGCAGCCGCTGCTGGTGGTGTGGGTAAGCCAACTATGGGCGCGCAACGCAGAAGCAGCAAAAGTCCCGGTCAAATGGTTATCGGCAAGACACCCAGCGGCACGGAGTATATACGCATCAATCTGAAACCCGACTATATGTATGACGATAAAGGTATTGCGGCCAATGAGAAAGTTGTTGAGGCGCCCAATAGCATTGCACCGCTCTATGCACGCAATCAGAAGAAACCGGCTTCGCTGAGCTTAGGACGGACTGCGGTGGATGAGCACCGTCTTACGCCCACCGCAAGCCCTAAGCCGACGCGGCACGGCATCTTGGGGGCGAAGGACGCACACGGCAGTCGTTCACCTTCGCCCGCCACCGTCTCAGTATCCCGAAAAAGCTCCTTCAGTTCGCTATTTCGCTTGGGCGGCAAAGATTCCCCCGACTCACCACGCGAGCGTTCACGTTCGCGCAGCAAAAGTAAAGAGCGTCAGACCCCACAATCACAAAACGCCACGCCCAGCAAACAGAAATCCGTTTTAGCGATTTTCAAGCCGGGTAAACGTGGCAGCAACGCCGGCGCTGATGCTAAATCATCGAAGAGCTCCTCACCAATCGATGGTCACGAACTTCAACAGCAGCTACAACAACAACAAATGCGCAGCAAAACACACACACCATCATCAACTACCACAGGCGGTGGTTCGCGTCCCGCCAGCCGACTGCGTTACTACGACGAGCCGGTCGAGGGTGTAATACACATACCACTACATACGCCACCGGAGGAGAAGGAGGCGCGTAAGCTACTACACGGCATACAGCAGTTGAATGCGGAGCCCATGCGTCCGGTGCCCACGGCAATAACCGCCAGTCAACTTGCTGCAGCTGCGGCCGCACTCAAACCGGTGGGTGCGCGCAAGGGCTCTGGTAGTGGCTCATCGGGTAGTGGCCAATCGCAGCCACGTGCACAGCCGGCGGACAAATTGCAACAAATAGAAAATCTCGATGCCATACACACACTCTCACAGGACGATGACAATAAGGAGCGTACATGGAGCTTGGAGGTGAATAAGCATAGCTCGCAGGACTCACAGGAAACAGCCGGTTCGGAGACAAGCTACGCAAGCGCCATCAAGGTCAATCTGCGTTCGAACTTGGCTAATGTTAAGGAGCATGTGGTGCAGGAAAATGGCATGGCCGCGGAGGCAGAAATTCATCGACTACCTTCGGTGGATAGCAGTGGTGGCGGTGGCGGCGGGATGAAGCTCGTCGAGACGGTGGCGACGGTCAATGTGAACATAAGACAAGTACAGCCTGAAAATGAGTATACGAAAGAGAAGCGCCGACTGCTTTTCACCACACGTCTGGGTTCGGGTAGCCAAGATCAAATCTTCTCAACACAGTTTAGCATTTCAAAGACGGAAAGTCAATCCAGCCAGCTGTCAGAGCAGATGCAAGAGACAATAGCAGAAAGTCCTGCTGGTACGGAAACCTTACACCGACAAGGAACAGTCATACGACGCGCCGAGGAAGAGGTGGACGGCGCTGCCCACACAAAATTAGCGGAAGCTAAAGATAATGCAAAATTGCCGCCGAAACGGCGTACCTCTACCGAAGCCGCCACCGCAGCACGTCGGCAGAAGTCGATCTCAACATCGGAAGATGAGAAACACATCGTGCAAACTACAGTTACCGCGGTGGTTATGCGTCACAAGGAGTCGTACGAGGAAACGCGTCGAAAATCGCGCTCCACGTCAGAAGAGGACGCAGAGGTGGCCGCCGGTGGTATTGCCAATCAACGGCATTCACGTTACTTGGAGAATTTCGATGTACGAAAAAAGTATCACGAAAATGTGCCAAGGAAACCGAAAAGGCAAAGCGTTTCCGAAACGAAGCAGAGTGACGGCGCAGAGGACGCGCACACAACTGCCGCCGAGCCGAGCAGAGATGAGCAAAAATCACAAAAACAACATCAACAACGTAAACCAACACTGCCTCAACCGCCACCACCATCGACTGCACCTTCACCATCACCACCGCCAACTGCAGCCTCCGCAGGGGGCAGTCGTTCGCCTACACCCGTACAACGTGTGCCACGCTCGCAATCGCAATCACCCGTAGATCGTTCCGGAAAGCAGACACCCGTTAAACCACCACGTACCACGACACCTACACGCCGCACACATACCCCAGCCGAAAGACAATCAATGCCCTCAACCGACGAGCCAGTTGAATCATCTGAAAGTGAACGAGACTCTGACCTAGCTGGCGGCTCTTCAGCTGCAGCCGATCCCAAACGTCGACACTTACCGCGGCACGTTGGCACCATCGAAGATCACGAAAGTACGGGTCTTGTGTCGCAAGAGTCTTTCGATGAGCTTCCTTACGTGCCAACTACGCTACCCGAGGAGCGCGCTCAAGGCGTCTCACTCATACCTATGAAAGATCGCGCCAATATGGAATTGAAAACTTGTCCCGTGGAAAGACCACGCTCAACTACGCCGCTGAATCCCTCACACTTGGAGGAATATTGCGGCATAGTTACGCCACAGGACCAAACCTACGAGATTAGCGGTTCAGCGCCGGTGCGCGGCGAAAAGCTGCGCATTAGCTTGCCACGAAAAGACTCCACCAAAGAGCGCGTGCAAAGTGCAAAGTCACCACGGCGACCCTCCAACACAAGCGGCAAATCTTGGTTTGAGTTTGCCGAAGAGGGGCTGCGTGCGACTGCCGCCAATTTGGAACGAAAGGATTCCAAGCAACAGCTACTACAGCAGCAGCAGCAGCAACAGCAACAGCAACAGCAACAGCACCAACAACAAACCGAATTGGAGCTGAAAACGAAAGCTGCCACCAGCAAAGCGATAACAACTACGGTACAGACCACACAGACCCAAGTAACACCGACTTCCAGCACCACAACGACGCAGCGAAAACTCTCCGGACACTGGATTGATTTCGAAAATATACCAGAGAAACGTAAGCCGCCTAAACGTATCACAGCACTACCAAAAGATGGCGTCATTACGAGCACTACGAACAGTAGTCGCGCTCACGCCACCACAACGAGTGTTCAACACACAACGCACGGCCATGCAACGGCACATAGCCATCATCAGCCAGCACAGCCTGATGTGACCATGGACGGCAAGATACACTACAACTACGTAAAGCCGGAGGACTGCCAGTGCGAGTGTCACGAGAGTAAGCGTGACGGCGCCGCTGGCGACGAAGCGGCTGCGGCTGCTGGTGAAGACGAGGTTGAAGGCGTGACCAGCAGCAAGTCTATAACGAGTGTTGATCTTCTGCAGCAAGGTGAGGATATGTTGCCGTTGCTGGATCCCGACACGCAAGATGGAATTGAACCAAGGTGAGTGGCTGTCTGTGCGATATAAAAAAAAAACTCACTCACATACATACATACTTATATTCTACGATTTTAGTGACTCATCGCGTGAGTACAGCTGCTATACGGACGATGAGATGGATGTACCAATGCGTCGGCCCACATCAAGCCGCTCGAAAAGCAGTTCCTCAAAGGTGAGCGTGCATAAGCAGTGCATAGAATGAAAGTTGATGTTTTCTTCTTCTTCTTCTACTTCCTTTCCTTCCAGTTGGACGAGTTTCCGCGTCGTGATGTATCGCACAGTCCACGAAATCGCAAGTTTCCAGACAATCGCAAGTGAGTTCGTTGGGGCCTTGAGCACGGAGTTGCTTGCTTTATCTCTCGCGCGTTTCGCGTTGTTGGAATTTTTTTCCTATCAAAAATCCCGTTAGCTTAATTAAGTAGATGCCACTCAAATGCCTTTCCATTTTGTTAGCGCTGCTTTAACTCTTTTTAGGTAAACTTAGTTAAATTTTTAATATTATTAAATAAGTACATACATACATACATATATTGGAGTAGTTAAATTATTGTTGCTTGAACAAAGTCTCCATTGTGGTTCCGAGAATTGCCACACAAACGAGCTGCAGCCCACAGCTTCATTGGCCTCTCATGGCACTTCGAAATGAGAAGGATAACACCGACTTTCTGAGCTCCCAGACTCATATCCAACCAGCGTATCCAAAAAAAACATGGAACGAACATTCTTACGCAAATGGATCCGGTCGTCCGTTCAACCGTACAGATTTCTTCCATAGAGAACGATGCCTTCGCTTCGGATTCCTGAAGAGATGCTTCCTCTATACCTTATATAGATTATGGTTTAGGTATCTAATAATATTGACGTAACACTGTCTCTTAGATGGAGTAAAAGTTTGCTTGATCCTTTGGAGGGATCAAGTGTGAAAGGATCTGGCTTCATTTGACGGTTAACGAAGAAAATACGAAACAATTGCAGCACTAAAATCAAGGAGAAGAAGAAGTAGTAGTATATTTCCGACAGATTCCAACTCTTCAATTTTCTCCGCCGGAACCCTGTATTAAATCCCTTCAGATATCTATACCCATAGTTTTTCCAAGTGCGGATATGGTAAACCTACTGCTTCGAAGCGTCATTTCTGTTAAGGATTTCAGTTTTTACTCTGCCGACCATCGAAGATATAGCTTTACAGTCCGTTGTCGGTTAAGAATTTGGGTTTCGGTAGAAAACCCCCAACAATCAAGGATTTTTTACTCGTCACTTACGACAGGCTAGCATTTCCACCAATGAAACAATGGGCAGGGGAAGAATGGGCAGATTTTACACCAAACCCCTGCCTTAAAAACTGCCTCAGAGCTTAGAGAAGCTAAGTTGTGACTCGTTTCGAGATCTTACAATGTAAGGATTCTGCAGGATATTGGCTTTATGCCTGAATATACAGATCACGGCGTCCCAATGCCTGGGTACAATGAACTCAAGGCGATGTGGGAGTGTGTATTAGCAGGTTTTCTGTTGGGCACTCGTAATCGGCCCTAGTTTGAGGTTTCCCATCGAGTATAGCGCTTTTCAAGTGTAGAAATGGTAGAACCACTGTTTCAAATTGTCGTACCTGTTAAGCATCTCAGTATTTACGCTGTCGGCACAGTTACAGAAGGGTTAGTACTGCGTATGGTTTATGCAGAGGGTCATGAATATAAAAAGTATAAAAATGGACTCCTAAGACAACATCACTGCAAGGAAGAAGATGGATTTTATTCACACATAGACACAAATCGATCTCAGCTGGGCGATCGCTGGGCCATTGTAAGTGACGTATGGAACCGCAGTTTGTTTCTGGCCTAATGTGGCTCATGAAAGACGCAGAGAGCTTCTACCACTCAACAACTCATAGCTATGCATAACTTTTGGTAGGGATTCTGACTGAAAGAGGATGCTGAAATTGCGGGTTGAGCTATAATGCAGCAGTGGCATGACTTGGTAGTCTTCTTACGTCGGACTACGGCTCTTGCACCTTTGCTCTCATGCAGTTAACTATTCAAGCGGGATATACGGTAATACGTCGAGCCCTCTTCGTGGGTTTTCAAACGACTTTTAGAATCAAAAATCAGAATGAAAATTTATATTGTGGGAAGATACAGCTGGAGATCATATTGGAACCTTTATTTCAAATCTTAATAAAAACACGCAATGGAGACGATTCGTTACTTTTGAAAATGAAATATACTTTAAGCTTTTATTTATGAAAATATATAAACAATTTTACTGTGTATTAGTGAAAATTTGTAAAAAAAAAATTTCAAAATACTATTTAGGTGATGTTGAAAACTTAAACAAATCCTGACATTTTGTGGCATAACAAAACCAACAAAAAAAAACCGATTACTTTTTCAAGTGAACACAGAGACTTACTTCAGATATCTACTTACATTAAAAAAAAGAAAATTATTTGAAAATTATAAGCAAAAAATTATAAAACATTCTAACAGCAAATGCTTACATACATTCGTACATACATACTCGTACATAAATATTTACAAATATATGCTACTATTATTACATATATACAAATTACATGCATACATGCAAATATATTGAAATTACAATACATACACGTACATATTAATGCCGCCATACAAATAAACATACTCGTATACCTTTCACTTACATAACATACCAACAAACAAACATATAAATACATACATATTAATTAATTATATAACACAAAAGAAAAATCAAATCACATACATACATATATATATGGAATTACATACATAGATTAGTTAGTTGACAATTTTTATGAATTTGAGTGTGCAAAGAGAAAACCAGAAACTAGAAAGCAAAGAAAATAAAGAAACAAAGAATTACTTTAAATAACGCACTCGGCAGCTTAAAAGCTCATCACACTTCAAACCCAAAAAGGATATTCACAGTCTGGCAGCTGAATGTTATAGGAATTCAACAATTTTTGAAATATTCCAAATAAATGTTACCCCACAAAATTTCGAACCTGATAGCATTGGTGTTTGTTGAAATAAAAGCAAATATATTTAAAAAAAAATCGAAAAACTAATAGGAAATTGTTTGAGCGGACTTTACGCACACTAAAAAGTTTTATTGTACGAAATTCGAAACAAAAATTTGAAAAACTTCTTATGATATCACAACTTGTACTAGATGGGTCCTCTAGGTTTAGGTATTACATACATACATACATACATGTACCATAGAGACAATGTGAAACCCGTTAGCGTTGTTTAGGAAAAAAATATTTAAGAGAGTGTGGACATCGGCTGAAAATCGCGTCAGCTCTTACAATTTATATATATATATATATACAAAAATATATATATATATTGATATATATATAAACGAGAGTTATTGTTGTTGGTTTTTTTTTCCAATAGAAAGATAAGCATGCATACAAATAAGTAGAGAAGATGACCCCATTCGAAGAATCTAGATGTTTATTCATGTATTTTTGTAACCAAACACAAAGTTTTGACTAAAGAAAAGTTTCGAAAAATGAGAATTACAAGTTTTGAAGTAAAATTTAAAAATTAAAAAAGCATGGCGTGCGATAGACTTAACATTCTAAAACTTTCCTCACCTCGATTTTCTGACAAAAAAAAATATATTTCGACTAATTTATTTTTATGCAAATTAATTTTTACTCATCTCGATTTTAATAGGAAAAAAACACATGATAAAATTAAATATAAAATAAATAAAAAAATAAAAAATTAAAGCAAAAATACAACCACTTAAAATAACGTAAAGTACAATAAAATAAAACACAACAATAATAAAGAATAATGAAATATTGAAAAAATGTAATAAATAAATAAATAATATAAGGAAAAATTAAATTAAAATATAATAAAATAAAATTAAAAATAAAAATAAAAATAAAAACAAAATAAATTAAACTAAGAAAACATTAAATGAAAAAAAATTAAATTAATAAAATATTTAATAAAATAAAATAACATAAAAAATAAAATGTGATTAAGATAAACAGAATAATTATTTAAAACATACTAAGATGAAATAAAATTTTATAATTACAAAAAATTAATTAATCAACTTAAAAAATCTAAATAATTAATTAAATATAAATAATTAAATTAAAAAAAGAAAATTTTAAAATAAAACAAAATGGATTCAAAAATAAAAAAATTAAAATGAAATAAAATAAAATTTAAAAAAGTTAAAACTAAAAAATAATTGAATGAATAGGAAAAAACACATAATAAAATGAAATAAAATAAATAAAAAAAATTAAAGAAAAATACAACCACTTAAAATAACGTAAAGTACAATAAAATAAAAGACAACAATAACAAATAATAATGAAATATTAAAAAATGTAATAAATAAATAAATAATGTAAGGAAAAATTGAATTAAAATATAATAAAATAAAATAAAAAAATAAAAATAAAAACAAAAAAAATTAAACTAAGAAAACATTAAATCAAAAAACAGTAAATTAAAAAAACATTTAAAACAAAAAATTTAATATAAAAAATAAAATGCGATTAAAATAAACAGAATAATTATTTAAAACATACTAAAATGAAATAAAATTTTATTATTAAAAAAATTAATTAATCAACTTAAAAAATCTAAATAATTAATTAAATATAAATAATTTAATTAAATTAAAAAAAGAAAATATTAAAATAGAACAAAATGGATTCAAAAATAAAAAAACAAAAATAAAATAAAATAAAATTTAAAAAAGTTAAAACTAATAAATAATTGAATGAATAGCAAAAAACACATAATAATATGAAATAAAATAAATAAAAAAAAATTAAAGAAAAATACAACCACTTAAAATAACGTAAAGTACAATAAAATAAAACACAACAATATAAAATAAATAATAATGAAATATTGAAAAAATGTAATAAATAAATAAATAATATAAGGAAAAATTAAATTAAAATATAATAAAATAAAATAAAAAAATAAAACTAAAAACAAAATAATTTAAACTAAGAAAAAATTAAATTAAAAAAACATTTAATAAAAAAAATTAATATAAAAAATGCGAATAATTATTTAAAACATACTAAAATGAAATAAAATGAAAAAATAAAATGTAATTAAAAAAAATGTAAAAAAAATTAATTAATCAACTTAAAAAATCTGATTAATTAATTAAATATAAATAATTTAATTAAAAAAAGAAAATATTAAAATAAAACAAAATGGATTCAAAAATGAGCAAAATTAAAATGAAATAAAAAAAAAATTTAAAAAAGTTATATCTAAATAAATTTAATAAAAAATAATTGAATGAATAAAAAGGAAAAGAACAAAAATAAATTAAAAGTTAAAAAAAGCCGAGCGGAGGAAGGACGTTATTTATATGAAATAAAAAAAGACAAAGTAAAATCAAATAAACCAAGCAAAGATATAAAATAAATTAAAACATAAAAAAAAATAAATTAAATTAAATTAAAATGGCATCAATAAAATAAAAAAGTAAATAAAATAAATTAACTAAAATAAATTAAATTAATTAATATTATATATTATGAAATATAAAAACGAAATAGAAAATAATTAAAAATAAAATAAAAAATTTAACAAAACAATAGATTAAATGAAATAGAAATAAATAAGAGAAAATTGAAAATAAAATAAAATAAAGTAAAGAAAAATCAAATAAAATAAACTAAAATAAATCTAATATAAAAAAATTAAGTAAATATAAATAAATTAAAAATAAATAAACCAAATAAAATAATATTAAATAAGAAATACAAAATAAAGAAATAAATAAAAAATATCATAATAATAATAATAAAATACTAAAATAATTTAGTAATAATAAATGAAAAAAAGTAAATTAAAATAAAGTAAAAACAAAGAAATACCACCTAAAAAAAAAATAAAAATTAAATAAAAACAATTTAAAATCAATGTAATGAAAGCTATATTTTATAAATAAAATAATTATAAACAACTATAACAAGAAATTAAATTAAACAAAAAAAAAAACGAGATAAATTAAGCAACATTAAATAAATAAAAATAAAATATATTATAAAATTAAACAAGCATAAAATAAATAAAAATAAAATATATTATAAAATTAAACAAGCATAAAATAAATAAAAATAAAATATATTATAAAATTAAACAAAATAAAAAGCATAAAATAAAATTACTAAAATAATAAAAAATGAATTAAAAAAATTAAACGAAATAAAAAATTGTCTTAAATAAAAAAAAATGAAATAAAATAAAATTGAATAAAGTAAAAAGGAATAAAAATATATAAAATAAATAAAAAATAAAAAAAAAATAAAATAATTTAAAAAAAGCTTTTGAATCACAAGCACACTTATATCAAAATTAATAAACAACTTTTTGTAAACATGTGTCATTCCTGTTATTGATATACATACATATATAAATCATCTTAGATTAATTTTCAAAAATCAAAAATCTTTTCAAATCAAATCTTAAACATATTTTTATAAACAAAAAATACTATTTGACTCAAGCATTTCTGTCAAAAAAAAAAATCTGTTTTATAATATACTCCTATATCAATAACTACATACATACACGTACATGCATACCTTGACTACTATGCAAACCCTTATTAAACGAATACCCCCACAATGCGCTTAAAAAATTCATTGAAAAAAAAATATATTATTACAACAAAACAATCTTAATCGAATTATTGCAGTCAAAAGTTACATACCTACATACATACACGCATACACATAAATTAGTTAAGTTGTTGGAAATGCATTTAATTAAAAACTAAGGTTATTTAAATATATAATTAAATTATAAATGGATACTAAGAAAAAATTGTATTTGACGAAAAAAAGTAAATAAATAATAAAAATATAATTAATTGACAAATAAATAAATAAACCAAATGTGTAAAGCGCCAGCGCCATACGGAGATGAAAATTAAGAAAAAAAAAAAACAACCGAAAATAAGAAAAAATAATTAAACGGTATTTGAAGCGCTGAGAAATTTGTTAATCACGCCAATAATAACTTATTTAACGGTATTTATTACAAACATACTTATATATAAATTTATTATTTCTTTCTAGTTAAAATATGAATTAAAAAAACCGAGAAAAAATAAACAAAAAATGACGAAAAATTAAGTAAAGCTGCAAAAGCTTTCAAATTTTTGAACTTCTAATGCGCAAGTAATTGAATTCATGCACTACATTATTACTTAATAATAAAATTTAAAAAATTAAAAACATATTTACTTATTTAAGTATGAACTTTGAAGAAAAAAATGGATTAAATAAAAAAATAAAAATTAATAAATATGTATGATAATAAATTACAAGTGTGTTTTATTAAAAAAAAAACTATAAAAAATTAAAAAAAAAAGTTCGAAAAAATTTTGATAACTCTGAAAGAAATAATATTGTTTTTTAATTTAATTTCCGTTCTTGTTTAAATTTTATTTAATTATTTC